GTTCTTCCACCTCGTTTCGGTCGTCCGTATTAAACATCTATGAACGAAGATGTTAACTTTATTTTTGGGTAGCAAAATGTGTGTTGGTAGCAAAATTTTGAGATTGAGATATGGCTTAAATACTTTTATACTTTCAACTGAGATTGTGGTAGCGTCTCCTCCTTACACATTGCACTACCCTTTAGAGCAGTGAAAGATGATACTAGTAGTACGTACATATTGCCAGGAGTTGTAACCACCCGGAGTCCGTGTCGGTACGTAGTGTGTGTACATGATGCCGAGTCGGCGGAACTTGTCCACCACGTCCGTGTCCAGGCGGGGCAGGATCTCCCGCACGTCCGTGATGACGGACTCTCCCCCGGCCCCGGGACCGGACGGCTCCAGGCAGAAGAACATCACCTGCAGGCGTGTTCAAACAAACATCGTCTTAGCAGCGACATCTAGCTGCAATGCGAGGTAGCACCAGTCAGTATCGCCCTGAGCATGGACATTAGACAGAAAGGACTTTTTGTGTAATGTCCTTGCCCTGAGGTAGGCGACTTATCAGTCACCGAAACGTCGAGAAAATGTTAAATATAGGTATTTCATAAGTCTGACATGAACGTTTGATCTACCTCATCGGTAAGTCGTACCTTTTCGGGAAAGTAGTTGGTGTAGGCCAACTCGTTATGCGCTTCTATGCACCATTCTGGCGGCTGATCGCTGGCAGAGTAGACAAAGTCGTTGGTTTGGTGCCTAATGGCGTTTCCGACGTACAGCGACACATTCAGCCCGAGGTTCTGGACCACTCTCGAGAACTCCTCGCTCGTGGAGATCGGCAGACCTCGGAAGAGCACGCCTCCCTCGTTACGCTTTCGGAGCAACTCGTCAATGACTTTCCTCATGTCCGAGGCGCACTCTTCGGCAGTGGCGCTAACCCCTCCCGCGGCCTCGTACACGAAGGGAAACCCGTCCCTCGGCGGAGCCAAGTACTCGGGAAACTTGGGGCTGTCGGACCCCACCAGCATTGGTCTGCCTCTGATAGGGACCGCTTGAGCGGTCCATTGAACTTTTGTCTCAACAAGATTTAGCACCTTCCCAACTTGGGACGTAGAAATCTGTCGAAAACGCAGAAATTTGGGCAAAAGTGCGCATCTTGTTGCATAGGCCTGCATTATTGTCTGGCTTGTGTGTGACTCAAATGTAAATGTTGAAAAAATTGTCTGCAGACAATGGAAAAACCTGTTCTTCAAGTGCATCATGTTCTGAATATAATGCTTGCCTCCAGGTAAGTTGCATACCTTACACTTTGTCGCGCCCCTCCCCCCTCTTGTCATAGAAAACGTGCCCAAGTACATTAGCTGGAATCCTTGGCAGTTTGATGGAAAGACGCATGAGACGGCGTCGTGCCAATGTCAGAGATCAACGACCTGCTTGCTTGGCACCCCCTTCCACTGTTCCCTCCAAGCAAGGTGCTCAAAGCAATCCAGTGGCCGAATAGCGAATGCTTGATGTCCTTACTTCTCTACTGGAAATAAAGTGCATCCTGGTTCAGGATAAGCCTACGGAGGTGATTCTATCAGGCGGAGAGATTTTGTCACTGCTGCATCCCCAGGGTACAGTTTTCCTAGGGCATATCCTTTATACCCCCGTCACATTGCGCGTAAATCGATCGGCCGACTAGTTGGCGAGCTCTAAACGACATTTACGGCCGTAGTACGCCCGATGTTCCGTCGAGCATCGCGCGAATTTTCGGGATCGCCGGCGATTTTTTGGAGTCGGCCGAAGCTCGCTGACACGCGAAACGTGTTCTTAACATCAGCGACTAGTCGCCGGCGATTTTTGAGGTTGCAGAGCTCGTTTCCAGCTCGCGCGTAGCTCGGACGTAGCTCTCCCCTGTGCGGCCGAGAGTCGACCGATATTCGGACGTACATCCCACGAGTCTCGGCCGTATTTCGTAATCTCCAAGCAGATCTTTTGGTGGCAAGACAGTATCCATTGGCCAGAGGAGTGTCCATTAGCCACCGAAGTGGCTTCGGTGGCTAATG